TGACATCTTCAATCGAGAATAACTTTATGATGCAGACACAAATCGACTAATGTTTCTATGGGGTTATGTTGACAGATGCCCAAGTTTATTATGTATGACGTCTATGATCTATTTATTTCGACCACCACTTAAAGCCATCTATAGGAAAACGGCGGAAGCAAAGTTGTATACCTAATACTTCATGAACTATAATCATCATGTTAGACCCATCATATTGAATTTCCAAAAAAGACAGAAGTGCTAAAAAAAAGTAGATATGAGTACCTACAATTTGAACTCAGAAAGAAATTTCGGCACAAAGCTCTCTCATGACGGCCCTATCTCGTCTTGGGATGTTGCGCTATTGAATGAATGAATTAAAGTAGATTAACGTTAGGGTAGAGAATGAAAGTTACACTATCATCGAACGCCCCTTTTAAATCATTTAATATCATGTTGTCTTCGTCTGTATATCTTCAGTAATGAATATTGTGCGTTCGCAAGTTGTATGCAAAAAATTAAGAGATTTTTAAGAGATTTTTTTTTATGTGAATATTCGAATATAGGGGGTTTAGTAACAATGAATTTTTTAACATGATCACAAGTTCCATCCCACCTTTTCCCTCTGTCGAGAGGTGCATGACTTGCTGCGCGAATCGAGTTCCATTTCACTTTCCCCCTCCTAATATTTTTCGCAATAAATTTATTAATAGTTTCAAAATATTAATATCTTTATAATATTATATGATGTTTGATGAATCAAATTATTAAATTGCTTATCAATTTAATTCGCGATTACTAAAGTAATTTTAATTGTGTTTATAGTCCGGAAAAACAATTCGCACAGTTCTAAAGACTACTACTATATGATATATATATAGAGTGTGTATTAGTAAGTTCAAGATTATTTGCATTATTTTGCAAGATTATTTTTAAAAGCAATAAAAATCCAGTTTCGATCGTAATAGGCATTTTTCTAATATTGATTGTGTTATTTAATTTATTAAATTTATCGCTCTCATTTTAAGAATGTAATATGTATATTAAACGTTTTGCATTCCACACATTAAATTTTTTAAATCTCTTCATTTTTTTTATATTATTAATTGATAATTTCTGAATTCTGATGAGTTTAATCAAGTTTATTAAAGTGACAAATTTGATTTGTTTTATGCTTATTATCAATATTATAAAATTAATAGAAGAAATCATTTCTGAAATTAATTCATTTATATGAATATATATATATAATATTATAGTTTAACATTTTAACATTCAGACTGTAGTGGCGCTTCGTAAGTAATGTATTTAAAGTAATATATTTAACATAAATGGTCTTGTTTTCAATTTTATCGTTTATACACGCTCGCTTACAATGTGTAGCTCTCTATATATATCGGTTATTGCGAGGAATATTGTTAAGATCTCGGAATCTAAAGGCTTAGGATGCTCGCACGAAATGCAAGAGATCCGGGTTCGGACTCCCGACTGAGGCAATATTTTTCGCAATAAGTTTATTACAGTTTTTTAAGATTAAATTTGGAAAATTTGGGGGATTATTAATATTTCAGATTGCATTGAAAGTCCGACAACCATATCGGCAATTATCATTTCTGAAATTAATTCATTTATATGAATATATATAATATTTCAACATCTTAACATTCAGATCGTAGCTTCGTATTTAAAATAATAAAAGACTTCTCGTTTCTTTTATTATTTTTTATTAATTTTTTATTAATTTTTTATTAATTTTACAATATTCTTCAAAAGGAAATAAATTCTTGTTTTGAATACACAATAATGAATTTTTCTAAAATTTTGTAATAAGTATATTTTAAGATTATGATTAAGAAAATATTCTTTGCTAAAGGTAATCATTACTTAAAAGAAAGAAAATAAATTGAGTAATTATTTTTTTTAGCAATAGATTGATATTTTTTTAGGTCAGTGTTTTTTAAAAATTTTTAAATGAGAGATTTTTGGGCGTCAATGAATAGGCACTACTAGTAGATTTTTTTGGATTTATAATTATGAATTTATGAATTGTCAGTCTTTACTCATAATTTAAGATTGCTGATTCATCAAGGTGGATAAAATATAAAAATTGTGTAATTAAAAAATAAATTTTGATTACTTTCAGCGTTTAACAGGATTGAAATTGTCAACATAAAAATAAATGTATTTTATAACGATGGTTCATGACTTCTAATCGGAATTTTAAGGTTAACGTTTACTTTTTTAACAATAGAAGTGTCAACTATCGTTAGGAAAGCTTTTTTTAAATATTATACCTCCAATATTTTGGAAACTTGAGTATTAGAATTTTTTGGCTTGTAGCATCGTTTTCAGCACATTCAAAAATCTATAAGGAACATCTTAAATCTAGTCCGATTTAAAGTAATTTTCGATGCTATGAACTAATTATTGTTAACTTCTTAAAAAATAATCATTTCACTTTGTCATACAACAAGTAATTTTTATAAAACGGTGAAAATGGCCATATTCGACCAAAGCGTCTTGGTACTTAAGGAGATCCTAAAGTTGTCTGTTTTACCAATTAAATACAATAATTTTCGTAAAGAATTTTCGTATGTTTCGTATGTAACAGACTTGTAAAAGTAATACAAATTTTTTTCCATTAAAGTATACGCACTAATACTAATTTGATGCGTAGATTTTTATGTACCAATAACGAAAAAATTTTTGAAATTGAATTCTTTACTTACAATTAGTTCAATATGATGTCTGTAGCTGTCAAATTGTGATACTTGATATAAAAATTTTGCAATCTATACTTATGAAAAAAATTGAAGATTCGAGACTACTAGGCGAAGAAATAACGTGAAATTCAACTTACATATCTAATTCGATACAAAAACTTTACAAAAATTTAGGTATATGTGTGCGTGCGATATTGATATAGTAGTATGTAGTGATGTCGATAACGCGTAAATTGTACCTACAGGTGTGTTAGTCCTATTGAATCAATCGCAGTTTGAAATTTACTTTAGGATCCCCTTGACCCTAATCGGTATTCATAGATCCAGTGGATTTTAACTACATTGTGAAAAAATATTTTTTAAAATCTTACAAAATTTTAAGTTATATAATTTTATTTTTCGGATTTTGACTTTCAAAAAAAATTGTTCAATTACGTATAACTTTAAGTAAAGGTATATTAATTTAATATACACTGGACACGGAGATTAGTTTAAAGAAATTTCGAAGCAATACCGATTAGGATTAAAAATATTTTTGCGTGAATCTTACAATTTCCAGTTCAAGTAAACTGCGCACTGATTTTATTTATCAGTATTAAAAAACAGTCTTAACCGTGGAGCTATGAATGAAGCTGGATTATGTAATATCACAAATTAAATTAATAATCAACTGGTAATAATCATTATAAAAGAATAGTAATCAATTTGTGAAAAATACATAGGTACATATCACTCTAAATCATGCCTGCAATCATAATTTAACCTCGATAACGGCATGATCTGAATCTCCTTAAATAGCGTATGCGTCTAACCACTTAGATCATTGAAGCTTGTGTGGTGATATTTACATAATAATAACTATAAATGTTAGGCGAAAACGCTTTTTTTCGAGACTTCAAATGACGGACTTCAAAATTTCAATATATATATTCATTTAAAAAATTAAATAATAAATATTTCTTTTTTTTTAACCTTGATATTAAGCCGATTGATTGAGCTCAACAGAAAAATCATACTAAATTAATAGCAGATTATAATTAACGACGATAAATATTGTAATAACATTCATCTACTAACCTTTAAAAAAATGTAAATGTTAACCTTTACAAAAAAATAACAATATATTTATCCAGCTTAGCGCAATAAAAGTTAAATAAAATTTCATATTAACAAATTTCGCAACCGCTTGATATTAAAGAAAAAAAAAAGAAAAAAACAAAAAAGTAAAAGGATTATTATTCTTACGTTTCACGTAATTCTTCCCACGAAATCGAACATTCACTCACATGAGATCTCTTGGACACCACGCACGCACATGATTCCATTTGTACTGCTTTCTCTTCAAGGATTACGAGGTCCCTGGTGCTCCTGACGAAAGAGACCGTAAGAAAGCGAATTCACGCGCGGAAACCCGGAAGAAGCCAAGTTTTTGCTACACTATTTACACAGAGGCTATGTACACACGTTCTCAGTTCTTAATCGTCTCGGTCAAGACTAGTCAACTGACCACACAGCGAAAGTCCTTCCGGTCTTCGTTGTCATCTATAACGATTATCGTTTATCGATCTCCATTTTTCGAAGTAGTCCATTGGCCAAGTTTAATTCTGCTGTTAGAGCGACACTGATTATATCTTGCCGTTAGGAAAATGTTTAATCTTTCTTAGTCGATAAAAATCTTTCAGATCGATCGTCTTGAACGGCAGATGTTGGATTAAGAATGTCTTCTATAATAATTTTTTTTAATAAATAGTTTGTAATTGTTAGATCCGTTTAGAAAGTATCGGCGATCTCTTCTTTTTGTTTTTTCAAATTTCGTTTAATTGATTCATGAAATCTTTGTTCGACTCGCTTCAGATTCTTCATGAATTTTTCTATAGAAGAAAAGGAAGAAAAAACTCGAGGAGTAATTCTAGCAAGATATCGAAATTGACTAGTACTCATGAGCTGATATCGTTAAATCCGTGGTAGTCATTTCCTTCTAATGAGGAAATAGTCATTGTTGGAAAATTTTTATTTTTTGATCGGATTTAAAAAAATCTTTTTCCTCAATGACTTGATCACATGTACATATGATATTAATTTTTGCTTCATTAAATCCACAATCATCATAATCAAGAGGAACATGTAGCAATTATCCTTCTTGAAAACGCCTAGGAATCATCCATTTTTCTGATCATCGGAACCATGACTGATGATCCGGAAAAGGATCTACGTTTCCGTCATTTCGTTCCGTCGAGTCTGCGGTAGCCATCATAGCAACTGCTCCTCGAAGATAGATCAGAGCTACGCTCTATCGGGTCACAAGATGACCAACGGTCGCCGAAAAGATTCATTTCCCGATGCCGGTGCCATTTGGTATCCACCGTATTGAGCCATCTGCGGAGTCAGCAGGCCACTAGCTTGGACTGATGCGGGATACGGATACGGCAAAGCACCGGGACTCGCGGCCGATGATGTCGATGTCGAACTCGCGCTGGACGAGCCTTGTTCTGTTCTTTCGTGTTGCTTGCTTGTGTCTGGCGATTCCGCGGGCGGTGATCTTGCGGGTCCATTTCCGCCAACGACACTACTTGGACTGGATTCCTCGTAGAGCTTGTTGGGCTCGTAGTTCGGCCGATTGTATTCTCCAATGGTGGGTTTCTGATCCATGTACAGTTTCGATTGCTCGAAGTATGCCTTCGCGTCTAAGTAAGTACGGTCTAGATAAGTCTTGGGATTAGAAGAATCCAAGTACTTAGGGTCTGGATACATGCTCATTGCTAGAGTGCTGGGCGGCATATAGGCAGCGCGATATTTGTCAGGCTCCATAGAATATTTCATGGTCATCGAGTCCACCGGTATCTACAACAAAAATAGGGAAACGTCTGACAATCCAAATATTATTTTTAGATTCTTACATCACGTGGCAATCGGACCGAACATACTTATCTAATTAATGGAAATCGATCTGTTTAGAAAAATTCTCTAAAAAGATGCGACGAACTTTCGAAGATCCCAATCAAATTTAAAATGCTCCGCTATTAGTTCGTCGATTTTTTGCCTGGTATACGTTGACTTTCGAAAAAGCGAACACTGAATATGCAGCATCATCGCGACGAACAAAAAGAGCAAGCGACAAATTTGACAGTCAACGCATTCGATTCGGTCGGCGCGCACAAATCGCGAAATCAGTGGATCCGCGTCGCGACCTGAGCTGGAGATTTGTTCTACGTCGAAGACAACGATGCCAATGGCCATAAATTTCGTCACGTTGGGCCAAGCACGTTTGGACCAGGCTGCCGCAAGTTGAACCGAGTTGAACTGGGACCGGCCCGAGAGACCGGTACTTAAAAAAAAAAAAAAAGTAAAAGAAGAAAAAGGAGAGGCGGGAAGCAACGCGCATATTCCCGATTCTATAATTCGTGGACGAAGGAAGGATCGTGGCGGGATCCTTTGTCGGATCGTTAAGCGGCTTTGTCCAGATGATTTACATCCAGTCTTAGTAATGCTAAGACTGTCTCTCCCGCCCGCTACGACCAATTGATTACAGCTTAGCTTCTCTCGCCTCGAAAGCCCCACTCGCTGCTATCCGCGAATCGCGTCCAGAAATTAAAAAATTCCTTCTCATCGCGCGACGTTGAGATATTCGCATAGAAAGACGGCTTGATCGCGACTTCGATTCCAATTATCACAGTCGACACATATATTTTATTAATTGAGCGTTAGATGATTATTAGATGATTAATAGAGTTCGATTGAAATAACTTTTTTTTTATTCTTTTTCAGCCAAAATAGAAAACGAATATTTGATTATGTCAATTTCGGTCGAAACCAAAACTAAACTTTCATATGCGAATCCTGAAAAAGTTATATATGTATAAAGGTATAATGTATATATATTTCTTTTTCATAAATATTATAATGTAATTATTAAAACATAATAATTACACATATTATCATCATCCTAGTAATACAATTGTTTTAACACGATCTGTGATATGTTATATATTATTCGTAATGTCACAATTATATTTCAATAATTACGCAATTTCAAAATATCAAATACAAATATTTTTTAAATAAGTTTTTTAAATAAGTTTTTTAAATAAGTCTTTGGAAAATCAAGAGAAAATATTTTATATTAAATAAATTTTAAGTTAAAACAAATGTTTATTAAACGGTTTTGACTACGTTGCCAAAACTCTATTTCTAATTTCGATCGAAATCTAACTGGAACTTTGATTTTTAACCAAAGCTCGTAACTCAAACGGAAACAGAATTTTCGATTGAACTTTAATGGTTAATTCAATAGCGAATTCTTGAATTTTTTAAATCGGCTATATGCTTCAGAAATTTTTTGAATTAATTTAGAATCAAATGAAAAAATTTGAAATTCAGCAACTTTTTTTCAATAGGTAGGTTGATTATAGATAAATCAAATGATGAAATAATCAAAATGAACATATAATTATTTATCTAAATTATTTTTTAATAATTGGCTTATTTAAATTTTCTCGATTCATTCGAAATGAAGAAATTACATAAATACAAAAATTAAAAAAAAATTGTTGTAATACAGCATGTATTTTAAAAAGTACTCACAATTATAGTGCTATTCCTGATAAAAAACTGAGTCAAAATTCATTTTTGCAATTTTTTTTAGTTACCTAATGAACAGAATATACAAAATCAGCGCGTGACACAACTTTAAGATATCTTTAAGATATTCCATCAAAAATACTGAAAGATATTTTAAAATTGCCTTATATATCAATTTTACTCGCTTATTTAACAATCTTTAGAAATTAATATCACGTTAACTATTGCGAAAATTATAAAATGGTTTAGGACTTTTCGACTTAATTTTTGATTAGGAATAGCGCTAGCATGATTAATGAGCGCTTTTTAAAATATATCCTGTATATAAATATGTGTGTACATTGTCAACTATATCTAATTTTAGATATCTATATAAATTTATAATTCTACATGTATGTCATTTGTTTTTTTCATCTGTTATAGTTGTCTTTGTTATAGTCGTGATAGTTCATTCCGTTTTCATTCTATGCCGTCGTTGTCAGAGACTTAATTATCCAATGCGATGTCACTGTTAAAAAGGACAATGACACCGTACACTATTCGCCTCTGTTTTGGGTCACAAAAGACCGGTATTCTCTTTTCGCGCCATGTGTCGTCGAAGTCGTGAGCCAAGGAGAATGAGCGCACTTTATTTTCCAAATGGCCTCGGGGCGGTGGGAGAGCACAGAGAGCAAGAAAGTCAACTCCCTCACATTGCTCTATTGTGCCGCAGCCCTCGATATTTCAGCCGCTTCAACATTTTGTAAAAACTTGCTTCATTCGCGAGAATCTCGAAATATGATTCTGTTAGATCGTTGGTGCATGAAAAATAAAGATTTAAAACAATTAAAAATAAAGATTTAAAACAATTAAAAACTTTATTGAATCAGCAAGATAATTTTCTATCAATTTATTTTTTGGATACATACAATAGTTATCATAATCGGCGATACGAATTGATTTCAACATTGTATTTACTATAATTTAACTGACACTTCCTTTTTTTCTTATTAGATGATTAGCTGTAATGTAAACTTTGAAAAGAATTTGACTTCTATTAAATCGAACTTGAGATAGTTAGGTCAATTGGCTAACTATTCTGTGTTTGATCTTGGCTCTTAAGTTTGTTAAAGAAAGATGACTGTGGTTTTGTTTAGAGTTTTTAATTTAGCAATTACTATTAAACATATTTTTTCTTGAAAGAGTTCTAATCGCTTCACAAAAATTTCTCTTTCTCTCTGTCCGTTTCTCTGTCTCACTTTTACCATTCTATGTTTATATGACATTATAAAGGAATTTAAACTTAAGTCTTGTGCGGATTTATTTTTTAAGATATAATTCTGATTTGTGTGTTTCTGGCTCATTTTTGGGCATGAATGCATCTTAGTCACGCACATAAACATTCATACATATGCAACCACATTCATATACATATACATACACATACATGAATATAATTTAAAAAAATTCTTATACTTTAATTTTCATTATCTTAAATCTGTCTTTTATATTACTGTCTAACAATAAGCAGTTGAGCGGATTTGTTCGAAATGTTTAATAAGGTCTGTTAGTAAGATCTGTTTTATGCACTATACTGCACTAGAACTCTCTTTCTCCAATTCTTTTTTGGTCTTTCAACCAATATCAACCAATCGACCATATCAACGAATCAATCAATATCAACCAATTAATCACATCAACCAATCGACCAATATCAATCATATCAATCAATCGACCAATATCAACTACTTAGATATCTCATTTTAATTTCCAAAAGTGTGCTAATTTAACCACAAAAACTAACATAATGATATTCTGTTCCTTTCTCTGAAAAACGAATGTAATGATATTCTTTTCTCTTAATAAAAAAATATAATAGGAATAACGCTTTTCTTCAATATATCAGTGTGCTCCTCTTGACAAAGTGAACAGCAAAGTTCACGAAACGTTGGCGTTAGCAATGGATAGACTTGGCGATAACCTGCAAACTTGTATATTTCTTTCTCTCTTTCTCTCTCTTTCTCTTGCATGTAGGTTATATTAATAAGATTTTTCTTTACAATGACTTCTAATCGTTTGATGTGAGAACTAAAATAATTCTTTCTCCCTCAAGATTTGGTGATCAGATATTTTCGCGATGCTAATACGCCACAGAGAAAGGAAGAGCTCGAACTCGGCCGGGCGAAGATAACGCTGGAATTCTTCGAGCGTGCCGCTCGCCGCCGATGTTCGCCAATAATGGTCGCTTGTATCGCGCCGGTGCCTCGTTCCAGACGCGTCGGCCATTCAGCCGTTGAATGCAGAAATAACTAGCTATCTGTTTGTCTCCCGTAGCCAGCTGCGGAAATTCATACACAGACCACGGTCTCCGGTTTCTGTTTGCGAAGCCACCCGGGGGCTCCTTTGTTACGACAGCGAATGCAACGTACCTACACTCATCCTCCTCTCTCGTTACATACCTTCCGCGTTTCCACCCTCATCCTTCCTTCTCCTTTTTGAATCCTCTTCGTATACGCGCGCGCGCGCAATTCTCTTTTTCTCATCCTTTTGCTATATTTACGCGACCAGCGATCTGTCTCGCGAACTCGATACGTCCAGTCGCCAATTGTCTTCAAGATAAATGGATTTGTGATTGTCGTGACTTTGTTGTATTGGGCAAAATGTCAGGTTAATGTCTGCTGAAATGTCTGTCGAAATTACATCTGTACAATACATTTGTGTTTGATGTAGAAATTCGGCGCTCAGTTCAAATGATAACAAATATGGTATATATATTATATATGTATATCGGTACTTGCGAGTTATTCGAATGTGTATATATACACAAGTATATGTATAAGTAAATGAGATGGTAAAGCAAGATTGAAATCTTGAGTCGGTCGAGTCGGCGTCTGCCACATATATATTATTATATAATATATATAAATTCACATGAAATTATTTAAGATCCAGCTTTGACCATTATGAATTATTATTTCCTATATATTGGTGATGTAGAAATATTTCGATAAAAAATTTAGCGATTTATCATCCAGATCAAAAGTAATTTCACACACAAAAATACAAAAATAAATAATATTTTTTTTATCTGTGCTCTAATAGAAATGTATGGAAATTATTATAAAATAATAATGACAAAAATTTTAGTTTTTTTTTTAATATTTTAAGTATTCAAGATGATTTGTGTAAAATTACATTGCAGAAATTAGTTGTCCATAAATAAAATAAATATTTGTTCTATTTGTAACTAATCAATGGATCACAATGAAATTTTGCATAAGTCATTTTGAATATTTAAAGTATTTATAAAAAGTATTTATAAAAACATTAAAATTTTTATTATTTTATAAATTTTAATTCATAACAAAAAAAATAACAACAACAAATAAATAAACTATAAAAAAAACATACCTGTGTGTATGAAAAGTGTTCTGCACAAAAACAATCTCTTCATTCACTATCTCTATATATAAAATGAAAATTATAAATTTAATCAGGAGAACATTCAAATTTTGGCCACTAAAAGACAGTACAAAAAAAGATTACACTAAAAGTGTATCACTTTACAGTAAAAAATGACTTTAAATTGGACTAGATGTTTCTTATAGATTTTTTAATGTTTAATGTTTTAATTTTGTAATTAAAACAATGCCGTAACCCAACAAATTTCAGCACGTCAGATGTCTAAGATAATAGAGAATGACTTTTTAAAATGATATTTGGCATTCTTTTATAAAGAAGATTAACATTGTCTTGAAATTCCAATTAAAAGTCAAAGTGAAATATAGTTCATTCTTTATAAAATGCATTTTCTTTTCATCTCAATATTCTATCATGTTTTCTATTATATTCTATCATTTTTCATGTTGTGAGGGATTTAAATATAGAATTTTTCTAAGGTAATAAATTTTTCGATAACGTCATATACAATTTTTGTGACTATCGATACACATACACAGATCATACAATTTTTGTCTGAAGCATGTTTCTTTTAGGAATGCTTTTTTTTTAGATATTCGAGATGGATAATTAAGATGAGACACTCTGTGTGAGTGTGTATACATATATACATATGTATATACGTATTGTAGGTTTTGATTAAGTGTTGATTTTATAAGTCGTGACGTAGAGAATAAAGAGAGGCGTTTATTACATGCAGCGTAAATTAACTTTTAGATTAACAAAAGATTTCGTACATGTGATACATGTGCCACGACGCGCTCGTCTGTTCGTCGACTACTGCCGCTTCCCTTCTTCCCGCTCTTTCTCTATCAGGCTCCGAGTCTGCCCGAGCATTCCCGAATATCATTACGCGCACATATCGCGATCTCCCTGCGCCTAATCGCATTCAAATGGTACAGCAACGAAAAATAAGCCTAGATCTTGCAAAAAAAAATAACAAATAAAAGATACGCTCTCTTCCTTATTTTAACTTATTCTATACTCGGCCAATATCTGCCCTCAGATGTCATCTTCCTCGTCTCTTGGCGGATTCTCCAAACAATTTGTCCACGGTTTCATATTATCAGCAGACGATGATGTTCTTGCGATTGTTGTGCGATTGACGCGCTTGACTTTATAAGGCCCTAAATTCATACAGAGCTTGAGACCTGGTTCTCCTTGCGTTCGTTGAATGGCTTCTCTGGCCAGATTGCTCTGGCGTCTTCTCATTTGTCGTTGCCGAAACCGTCGTTTTCGTCTTCATGTTGATTATCCAGCACTAGAATCACCTTTAAATGTGCTACGAGATTTACCTTGCGCTGTCCTTGAGCTCTTCTTTAATCTGGGCCACCGTCATTCGATTTGCAACGCATCGTCTGTGTCGTGATCCAACATGTTTTCTCTTTAAATTCTTCTCTGTCCCGATCCCGACTATGAGCTCTCACTTGTAGGATATGGTTAAGTTTTACGAAGCGTGATGTAAAGAATAAAGAGAGGCGTTTATTACACATAGCGTAAATTAACTTTTAGATTAACAAAAAGATTTCATACACACCACGACACGCTCGCTTGTTCGTTTTTCTTTTTCTGATTCCCCTTTTTTGATTTTCCAACTTAAATACAGAGTCACAATATCATGCAGAAATAATGGATCAATTGACTCAGTAAATAAGCTCTCCTCCTGAGAGAGAACAGAGACCTCAATTCGCTTAAACTTTTGTTCATTAATTGAGGTTATAACAGAACTCGCTTGCTCGTTCTCGGTTGCCGCGCTTTCCTTTTCCCCGCTCTTCCTTCGTCAGGTTCCGAACCCGTCCGAGTATTCCCGAATATCATTATTGCGATCTCCCTACACCTAATCGTGTTCGAGAGTAGAACTACAATCAAAAATAAGTCTAGATCTCGCAAAAGTAATGAACAAAAAATATGCTTTCTTCCTTATTTTAATTTATCCTACATATACAGGGTGAACCAGAGTTGTTGAACCAACTTTTTACTCTATAAGAAAATTATCAACTTCATATTTGTTGGATTATAATGTGCGTACAGTCGATAATTTTACATATGCATATGCATATACATTTAAGTCTATAAAGATAAATTATACTCTGTATCAATAATCACGACAATTTTAGAAATTATTAGTATAATGACTTTATAGAAAAATTTACTATTTTAGAAAAACTCTGTATTTGAATCCTTTATAACATGATTAAAAAATAAGATATGAAATTTAAAAAGATACATTTTATGATGAACAATACATTCATGATTTTTAATTAGGATTTTAAGATAACGTTAACCCTTTTTATAAACAAATATCAAGTAACAAAAAAATACCAAAAAAGTCATTTTTGTATATTAAGTCTCAATTATTTCAGAAATATCTAACGTGACAATGAAATTTATTTTGCAGTTCTCAACATTTAAAAAATTAAAATTTTTATAAGAAACGTCTTTTCGAATTCAAAATAATTAAAAAAAGCATTCTTTTGTATCTAATGTAAACTAATGTAAATCTTCAGAGATAGTTCTTATAATTAAACAAAAAAAAAGATAGACCTTTAAATAGATAGATGATTGTAAGCATAATTATTTTAAAAACCTTGATTTGGAAAAGAAAAGTAAAAAAAAATTTCCCAGAAATCCCCTTATATTTAATTCCTCTTATACTTGATGCTTTTCTTATCAGGACTCTCGTCAGGACTCTCTACTATTTGTTTTTCCATTTCTGCATTTTTTACCAATTTTCAAATGTTTCAACTGTAGTAAAAATTTTGATTTAATTTTTTCTGCAGAAAAAACCAAAATTATTAATAGGTCTTGGCATCTCTATGAGATTAAGGGATATATATTTTATCGAGCAATCTGTTTTAGCGTTTGACTAATGATTATATATATTCTTATACTCGTATTCATAATCAAGTTTTATATTTAAGGGTTCCTTAAATTTGATGCTCTACGAATTATTTCATTGGCTGCTAAGCATCTAAAGCTAAATTTAAAAAAGCCTTAAGTACAAGATCTGATTATGAATACAGGCATTAGTCTTCTAGACTAATATATATTCTATCTAATATATATATATATATGTATTCTTAGTTTTCTAATCCACTGAAGATAATTTAATGTTTAGACAATATTTGTAATTCCAATATATTTGTTTTAATTGCACTTATATTGTGCCTCGCTCATTATTTTTTTTTATTACTTATTTAATTTTTTATTTTTCTGAGTCATTTAAATTAAAAATATTTTATAAAATTTCTATTTTAGATTTATTTATTTATTTTTTATTCAATAAAAATTATTCACTAAAAATATAATGTAAAAACAACTTTCAAACTATACAGTTTGTTTAAAAAGTATATAATGTCTATATACATTTGTTATTCCTTTTTAATTGGCTTACATCTCTTTTACGGCTAGAGGCAATGTAGCATTGATGCATGACATGCAGCATACATGTTAATCACACGAAAGAATTATTGACTTACCGGAGGAGTTGACCCGAGACTAGACATGAGACCAGATGCAGCCGATTGTTGTGCAGCCGCTGCTGCGGCTGCAGCCATGCTAGCCGCCGAGAGCGAGCCGTAAGCCGCGGCGGGGGTGTAATAGGAGCCCATTGCAGCTTGTCCCATGCTACCAGCCATTCCTGTAAAATAATCACAATGTGACATGAATAAGATGCTGGTGACGACTTTGGCCTAACTTGAATGTTAATTATCTAATATATGTTTGTACATGAGATTCTAAAATAGTGTTGAACGAAGAGCGTTGCACCAGAAGAAAATAAACGATCGATGATTTAATGATTAGTAATTGACGATTTTTCAAGCGATTGTCAAGAGTTTTCTTTCGAAAAAAACATTGTTTGAAAAATATTGTTCGGCATGGCAAAATATTTTTTAGAAATCTAAAAGATATCTTGTTGTCTATCTAGATGTCAAATAGTTCTTTTTTTATAATAGCTTCGCGTCGATATGTCTTATCAAAGTTTTAATTAATTTCTTTCTTTTCATTTTCGATCATTGTCTTTTCAATTTAATTAATGATGTTAATTAGACATGGTCTGTTTATGGCATCTGCCGATTTTGACTTATCTCCTTCATTTCACTGACAAAATTTCGAGGACAGATGTTCGATGAATCGAGCTTGGTACGCGCGAGTCCCCTCGGTTTGTAGAGATTTGTTTGCCGTTCCTGGGTTACTATTGTCTTCATTGTTTCGCGCCTCATACCAGATTACGTAATTTTGAATTTCCATGCCGGACGAAAGCGCGAGAGAGACGAAGCCTGATTACTAAGTCTAAATATTTTACGCGCGTCGTGACCGTCTCTGTCGTAATTCGTCGCATAATAATTCAAACACAAACACAAAAGATTCCACGGCACTACGTCGTTTTCTCAGCTCAGCGCATCTAGCTCTTCGTATTTCGAAACTCGCCAACTCGAACGGTTACGTAGTTCTTCACGAGACTCGAATAAAGAATAGATAAAGGAATACATGTCGTATAGGCAGCGATACACATAAGCGATGATTTGGTTGCACATTTGTTTATTTTTTTTTTAATAATATTATATCCGATAAAGTTTGGTAAATTTTGGTAAAGTCTGATGTTCGGCAAAGTTCGGTGTACAAATCGTCAGAAGTTCGTTTAATTCCTTGAAGTCCAATGAAGTCCGGTAAAATCCGATGTACCCCGATAAAGTCCGATGAAATCCAATAAAGTCCGATGAATTCGATGGGATAATCACTCTTGAATTCCGATATATAACTCAGAAATCTGATGAATTCCTCAAAATTGAAGACTTTTATGAAGTCCGACAAAATCCGACGAAATCCATAACAGTCCGTGAAGTTTTTGAAATCAAAAGTCTAGGTGCATCTATTTTTTTTTAGTATCCCTTCCGATTTTACTCTTATTTAATTGATTAAGAATGATATTATTCTCTCTCTCTCTCTCTCTCTCTCTCCCTTTTTTCGTAAAAAAACAAATGAAAGAAAATTTGATGTATTCGGAAAAGAATACTCATCGTTCGATTACATTTCGATTTTCAAGGATTTTAGAGAAACTTCGTTTTCAATTTTAATGCATGTGTATACTTTATTGTTACAAATCAACTTGATATCTCGGAGGTGCGGAAGTTAAGCAATGGAAGGATGAGGAGCGCACGGAATAAATCTTCGAATAATTCCCTTCGGCGCGGTAGGACTGTACTTTGCGGATCGTATTCGCTCGAGGAGATTCATTGAATACAGACACGCGAGCGCATAAACATGTCGCTGGTTCATTATTTATCGAATTGTCTTAAGCTACCGCGACATTATGCGAAAGTCCGCGGTTCACCAGTCACGCCTGAGGGTTGAGAGCACGTGACTTTGCGGATAACTCGCGATCGTAAATTCGTCATCCATTAAATAACTAAGCTCCGAAATGTGTCTGACCGATGATAAATTATGAAATTTGGACAACACATTTTTTTCCACTGATTCTTTCTTTGCAACTTCTTTTTCGCAAACTATTAATACGCAAAATTAATTTGAATTAACGTTTGAAAAAGTTTTATATCTTAAAAATTTGATTTTTTCTGACAACAATCTAATTCATAATATTATTTCTTTATCTTATCAATTTCTTTCTAGTTCAATTTATTGTTCTTCGATCACAATTTTTAATTAATATAAGAATTAGCGATTTGACGCGATTGACGAGTTTCTGGCCAAGGTATATCTTTAATTCATATCCTTAAACAACCGCGTACATGAACGGAAATTCGAGTCAGCATTCCAACTTAAGCCGGTAATTTATTCCACCCACCTACACACTTGTCTTATGCGCGTGCCACTGAGTAAATACGGTTGAGAGGTAGTAGAAATAACTGAAAAGACCGCCAGGAAAAGAGAACATGGGGAAGAAATTGGCGATAATGTCCGTGTGACAAAGAGAAAAAGTGAAAGCATGTTTCTGCCTTTCTCTTAAAAATGTTCAGGTGAGACTAGCATATTCTAGCAGAGACATGCCGCTTCAGCAAAAATAATGACCGGAAGTAAGTAATATAATGGAGCTCATTTTAGATACATTTACAGGTGATATATAATTCGCGTCAGATTTCAGGATAGAATTCTATTTATAATTTTATGTGCTAATAAGGAAAGCATTTTCAGATTCAGAGAACACACACACATTGTGTATACATATAATATAGAGTAAATAATCCAACAACAAACTATGTAAATCTCAATTATTGAGTTGAAAATCTAAGTTTTGGCAGTTTATGAATTTAGTTGGTTATATATCATAAACAATAATTCTTAAGCTATTTTTTAAGTTTAACTACAATTTCGATTATTTCAAAAAACGGGAAGTGATTCATTATGTATTATACAAAGGATGACACAATGAACTATGATATTTTTAATAATAAACTACATGTCTTATATTGTGAATTGTTGGGATTATTTTAGTTTTGCTATATTTTAAAAGGTTTCTTTAGAAAATAAATAATTATAAGATGGTAAAATTCTTTCGTTTTGAATGAAAACACGTCGAATATATTTTCGAGTATATTTTTATTAAGATTTTAGATGGGAGGAGGGGCCGTATTCTAAATAATTACCACAATGAATTATTATTTTGAAGATTATCGTGATCTACTCAAAAAAGATTATGTGATCTACAGTAAACCATGGTTCATTATTCTACATTAAAATGATTTATTGTAGACCACTTAACCTTTTCCACGATAATCTCCAAAATAATGTGGTAAAATAGTATAACAGAAAAAAGTTGTTTATAAAATAATAAAGCCAAAGGTACACACAAAACTATTGCACTATTGAAAAAAATGATAGGTACAACAATAAAAACATAAAAAATGCTTAAAATATTATCGTACATAGCCATCCTTAGAGCGATTTAATAGTCGGTTAGAGGTCGAGAGGTTCAAATGCGAGTTGCTGCATGATAATAGCACAATCTGGTAACATCGTAAAATATTTATAATATCGCAATAGTTCACATTATGTTCACTGTTGGATTAGCTACCCCATAAAAAATACACATTTTACATTAAAACGGTATGTAAAATTACAAATAGAATTCTATTTGAATTACAAATTTAATCTGCAAATTGTAAATTATCTATTTTATGCCCATTTCTATTAATGTAATTTAATTTTTATTTTGATTCAACTAACTTCATCTTTTTTTAGTTCTAAAAATTAGAAAAAGATGAAAATCAAGTTGAACAAAGATTAATTTACGATAGAAACGAGCTAATTAGAGTTAAATAATCAACAAAATATAACTTACCCATACTTACCCTTACTTATCATTGATCTCTGATAAGTTCAAAAGATTTTTTAAGAACAATTGCTTTATACATTTGGCTTGCTAAGTTCCTTTCTTTATTAAAGGTCGACTTACCTTTAGGCGTCCATCTTTAATGTGATGTATAAGATCAATTGTTAGAATCGTGACGCGTTTTACATTAATCAGATAAAACGCTCATTAAAAACAAAAATAAATGAACACAAGAATCATATTAATAGAAATACCATTCAACAGTCTGTCATTACTGAATAGAATCGAACACAATCATGAATTTAATTGGAGCAACGTATTGATCTTTGATGAGGAAAAATGCTTTAATAAAAGATTAATTTCGGAGGTGATTTTTATTAAAAACAAAAAAAAACAATCTAAACCTTCAAAATGATACCGATTTATTGAACCCTTTGTGATTTGATCACGAAGGATTAATGTTTCTATGTTTGTATCTATTTATACTTTAAATCTTTGTATCTATTTATACTTTATTTATTTATTTGCGTTTTTAATTTTTCGTTGAACATCTCTTTTTTCGATCACTTTTTTGACACACTGGGTGGCTTACTCAGCGCAATGTTTAAACATTTTAATTGACATTCTTATTTCCAAAAAATCCATCAATCAATATGAAAAAAATTATCAATTTCAAGGTTTGTAGAGTTAAAATAGTTTTTGATTGAAATTTTATTACAATTTTTATGAAAAAAATTCTTGAGTTTAATGAATAGAGAAAAAATGAGTAAAATCTTTGAAAAATTATAACTTTTAAAAAATTCAATATTAAAAGTTAAAAATTTACAGAATTGTTGTTCAGATATGATACTTTGAAAAAAATTAAGTTGGTTTTGAATAAAGGATATTTGCATATTGAATGTTATTTTGAAGGTTATTCTGGGAATTGAAAAAACAGAGATTGTTTTATAAACATTGTAATTTTGTTTTACAAAATAAAAGAAAATTGAGTTTCAGAGAGTTAAAATAATTTTGTGGGTGGTTCGCATCCAGTATGTCAAAAGGTTAATATTCTGACATCTTACATTGTTCTAACATCTCATTATATTCACATCGTACTGTAATAAATCATTAACTTGATTTCAATATAAGTTTTCAGTGAAGTTTGACTTATATATTTAATTTATGACTTTATTAATTTTAATTTTTGAGTCGTTATTTTAATGTAAAATTCTAACATGTATAGTTTGATAAAATATGACAGACAACATGAAGATTTTTAATTTTGACAACAATTTAATGATGATTTAATGACTTGACGCTTTTACTCATTTTTCTGTAATTTGTGAAGTTTACCAATCATATATTCATGCATTGATTAGTATTAGGTATCTAAATTAACTTATTTATTGTATTTTGTAATTTTTTATTTATTATTGTAAATAATTATATTCATGCCCTGAAGAGGATCCAATACCAAGAGTTGAAACGTCTGTACTTTTAATTTAATACATACTTTACATACGATTTATTTATACCATACGTTTCGAGCCAACTTTGGCCAAATAGTAAAGCCAAATAGTAAAATTTTATAAATTTTTAAAAATATGTATATACGTATATCTCAAAAATGCGTGTCATTTTTTTTTATATTCTCCATTTAGGAGTATCTAAACTATGCAGGAATTTCAATCCAAACTTGAATAGAAACTTGTGAGGAAGGGATATCTAAAAAAAAAGGGGAGGCGATCGAAACGCGAAGGAGATATAAACGAAGGACAAGAGAGTCTCCACATGTCCGATAAATTGGAGATTACCGATCGCTTTTAGCCGCGAGAATGCGTGGGTGTCAGGATAAATTCCGGCCTTAATCGCGATATCACCAGTGTCGGAATTAATAATTTCTCAAACGGAAAGGCGCTCGCGAAGGATATCCGTAAACTCGCCTACGCGGACACGAATTACATGACGACGATAAATTATGCTATGGATACTGGTGCGTAATATAATGTGGCATGAATATTCGAACGCCATCGTTTCCACGCTGGATGTACAATAGCGGTAAGGAAACCATAGTAATAAAAGTATTCCATTACTTTGCACAATAGATATTGCTTTCAGCGTATATATAATAGGATGTTTCCCTAGATTTGTACAGAAGCGTATTTATTGATGAATTTTACTTGAATTGCTTGACTTGTCTGATTTTCTATTTTTTTAGTAATACTTTTTTCCAATATGTACGGAGCCTTTATGATTTTGAAATAAAACTTACGTAGGAAAAATAGTTTAAAAGAGAGATAAACAATTTAATTGTTTGAAAATCGTGAACTAATGAAAATGTTTTAATATAAATAAGAGAAGAATGCCATTTTAAAGCCCGTTTTGACTCTTTGTAATTCATATGTGATACATATATGTAAATATTTCAATTATAATTAAAATCTTGCGATAACTTGCAATAATGAGAATTATTACTGTGTTATGAACAAATTAAATCTTTCTTTCTGAAACACAGAATATAATTATTTCGAAATAATTGTTCTACGGCAACGAATAAAATAATTTGATTTATATATTTCCATTGTATAATTTTTATCTTTAATATTAAATTATTCTTCTGAAATAATTTCTTAAACTTTACATTTTCATGAAGTTTACCGATTATATATTCATGTATTGATTAGGTATCTGAGTTAACTTATTTATTGTATTTATTGTATTTATTTATTGTATTTATATTTTGTAATTTTTTATTTATTATTGCGCATGTAATGTAAATAATTATATTCATGCATTGAAGAGGATCCAATATCAAGGTTGAAACGTCTATACTTTTAATTTAATACATATTTTACATATATTATACACGAACAATTATAGTAAGAATTATAGAATTATAGAAGAGACAACAGCCCGAGTTTATTAAAAAATATGTTTTTGAATATATACATAAATTTTTTGAAACTTTGAACTTTGTTTTGTAATATATATTACATATTACATAGAAGCAACAGCAATTAAGTCGAAAGTACTCATGGAATGATTTTTAGCACAATGAAATCAAAATACTTATGAAAATAATTTTAATTGTATTTAAATAAAGACCGATATATTAACATAAATTATATATTATACATATATACTAAATATATATAAATATATATAAATATATATTATACATAAAATAAATAAAAGGATTTTTTTATGATCTTCGGAAGCAGATTATTGAGCTAATATAAATACTGGAGTTTAAATTAATAAAATATGAATTGCAAGTTATTAATTAATTATTGATAGCTAAAAGTTGCATCTTCAGCTGCAGCATGAATCAACGGAGTATTGTAAGACGGAGTCTTAAATTATCGACATGCTGTTCGATGCATTGTTCGGTGACAATTCAGTCACTTGTGTGACTTGAATTGTCTAAAAACTCACAAAATATATCAGACTAATGATTTATCTGACAACCGCGAAGTCCATTTATTTATTTTATTCGGGATATAATTTAATTATACGTAATAATGAAAACGTGATAATACCAGTGATGTAATTTGTAAGAGATGTAAATCAACGACGACTATAACAGTCTGATTTAAACAATTAATTGATATTTTAACGCCACACAGTGAACTACCTTAAACAATTACAATGTAGCGTATGGTCTAACTACAAATTGGACGACTAATTCAAACGTGGCAATATTTATAAAATATCTTGTATAAACACTCGTTACTTTTAACAATGCAATTATCCATACACTTTCGGACGACAAATAAATAAGTGGATGGCGAGACTGTTTACATGAAAAACATGCGCGTATTATCACGTAATGCAGGCGTAACCCGTTCGTATGCGATCCTTTGTCACGGTGTCATAGAAAGATTGCAATTATTAAATTACAAATCGCCGCGTTCACCATGCATAATGCGTTCGCGCCTCCATCCTATATTAATTAAATAAATTGGTAACCGCGTGTTTTCTGTGTTCTTCCACCGCTTTTACACGCGAGCTCATTTCCATTATGTCCGCCCAATTGTTACAATAAACTAACCAGACATGACGTCAGTATAGTCGCAAATGTTCATCACGAGTGTTTACACAACTGTGGGAAGTACAATGTTTGCAACAACACTTTCATATGCCACTTCGCTGCACTGCGATGCAACGAAGTGGCTTCTATCAACTTCAAAAAGTTCTATATATAGATACTGAAAAAAAGATAAAAATAAAAGCTAATTTTTTGCATAAAAAATACATTACATAAAAAATATATTGTCAATTGAAATAAGATGTTAAATTAAACCCTTTTCCTATTATAAACTCATTTTCGATTGTAATAAGAAAGTGTTAAAAAAAAGCTCGTGCTCTATTTCATATTATATTTTTGGCAATGCGATATTCAAGGCAAATCAAATGAATTAAATCAATTTTGATAAGAAAGTCGTTGAAAATGAGGTTTTTAGTAATTAATTCAAATCAAAAGAAATGCTAATTTTAAAAAATAATATGTTACATTTCGACATTTTTAATAAAGTTTCTCCAATAATTATAAAGTTTTTTTTCTTATAGCAATACTGAGACTTAATTGGTATTACTGAAAGAAATTTAGTGTATTTTTCATATATCAATGTTATAAAAAATGGTAGTTTAAAATAATAAAAAGGATGACAACTATTTAGATTCGAGTAACAGCGATCTCGTAATCGGCAAATCCCTGGATTAATCCTATTTTCATTCTTTATGTACAAATCTAATAGAGTGATGATAAAGTTGAACAAAAAATAAGTATAAGATAAAATGTATACGTAATTCTTTAGAAAAAAAATTTATAGTTTGATGATCTTCATCTTAATATATTTATAGAAAGTTCATTCTCTTGAGCAAATTTGCTTATCGATGATATTGAGATCCTCATCGGGACTCTCGCATTTTAGAATATGAAGATATATATATATAATTTCTAATATGTAAGACATAATTGTTAATAGTGAAAGAATTTTTTATTAATTTGATATAAGGAGAAGCAGATTAAGAAAAATATTGTGTGCATATAATTATTAAATTTTATATTGATTATTTAATGCTAAATGATCTAATGTACTTATCTGTAATAATAAGAACCACAAGATGCAACTTGAAATAAAATCATTAAAAAAATATCCTTTAAATCAGATATTTAAAAAAATATATAAATTGCTAATACACAAATTAATAAAAAATAGTTTGAAAGTTTAATTAATTAATGAAATAGTGAATAATTATATATATAAGTTATTTAATCGCTTAGAAGAAATTGAAAAACTTATTACGATTATCGAGAGTTTCGACTCGAGACTAAAACGATACGAAATTTGAGTCTCGTCTCGTCTCGACAAGAACGAACTTCCAACGTAGGTTAGACATGGTTAAACTTTAATTATAATATCTCAGAAAGTAAAATAAGAGATTGTTATTTGATTGTTAAAACAAAGTTTAGTCAGCTCTATCTACTCGCATAAGAAATCATGCAATCATTACTGGACACTCTGTATAATAAGATTAATATTAAAAATAATTACCTGCTCGAAGAGCGTCCATGGGAACACTTGGGTATGGAATACTATAAGGATAGCCTTCTTTTCGCAAAGTTTTGGGTTTCCTTCGCGGTCTATATTTATAATCAGGATGTTCCTTCATGTGTTGTGCACGTAACCTCTTCGCCTGATCGATGAATGGACGTTTCTCATCCTCCGTAAGGAGCTTCCATTCTGCACCTGCAATTTTTGTGTTATAATTTATATGCATGTATATCACGATCAGGAAAGACGCATAATAATTCTATATGTAGATAATGTTCATAATAATTAATAGATTGTTGTAATATTTGAAACTTATGTTACTTTTTAAGTTTTTATTATGTGATAAAATTTTTTTAATTATGTGATAAAAAGAAAAACATCAAAGATTCTTCTTCTTCTTCTTATCTCTAGTGTGTGTTACCTCTCTCATATACTTGTGGTATTGATTATTCAATAATTGCTACAAGAGACTGCATATGAGACCTACAATTTTACCAGTTCCGAATGACGGATTTTTCGATTTCTGTGGGCAGGAGATATTTCTTTCAAGAGGGAAGACTTTATCAAAGACACTCTCGAGAAGTGGTTGGCCTTCTTCGAGAGGAGACATAAGCGTAAATATTTTGGTTTCTGCCAGGATCAAACTCAAGACCTCTGATATATACATGATAGATCAGAGCGCTCAATTAATTAAATGAACTCAATTTCTGCAATGATTGGTCGAGATCACTAAACCTTTGCCATTATACACAATAGATCACTTTTCTTTTCACACCATGTTTATATTTAGGATTAAGTAGATAGTTAGCTTTTCGTTTTGAAAACATTTCCTTGTTGTAATATCTATTTATATGATGGAGTTTCTATTAAAAAAAAATGCAGTGTAGAAGCCATGTTAACTTTGCAAAATTGCTTGTAGAAAATTAAAGAGAGATACACATGATTTTTTATTGAAATGTAAATATTGATATGCATACATGGAAAAGCGGCTACGCTTTTGCCACAACCAAAATGGCCCATCAATACATTTTTTGATTATAAGAACTGTTATATATTTTCAGTTGTTGCAACCGTAGCATTTTTTTGTATAGTTCGAATTTTCTCAGTTGTC